GGAGGAAAGGGGAGGAAAGGGGAGGAAAGGGGAGGAAAGGGGAGGAAAGGGGAGGAAAGGGGAGGAAAGGGGAGGAAAGAGGAAGGACGGGCAGGGAAGGGCAGGAAATAGCAGGGACGAGGAGGGATGAGCAGGGACAAGGAAAGAAGAGAAGGGACGAGCAAAGAAGAGAAAGGACGAGCAAAGAAGAGAAGGGACGAGCAAAGAAGAGAAGGGACGAGCAAAGAAGAGAAGGGACGAGCAAGGAAGAGCAGAGAGGAGCAGGGATCAACCCCAGAGCAAAGCTCCAGGGAGCAGCCCCCAGCCTGGCCACACCTTTTGCGTCTCCTGGACGGTGTTGAGGTCGATCTCGAGGACGTGGTTCTGCAGCCCAGCCACCAGCAGGGTGTTGTTGTCCGTCAGCAGGAGACTGTGCATGTCCTCAGATTCATCCATGCTGGGGACAGGCAGGACACCCTCAGGCTCCTGCCCCGCTCCAGGAGGGAGCAGGGAAGGGCTGGAGGGGCCAGGAGCACTCACAGGTAGTCGAAAATGATGAGGCCGCCCCGGGACAGGTACTTGAGGTTGGTTTTGGTGAGGAAGAGGACGCCGTTCTCCAGGCTCTGGATCTGGCGGATGTCATCGCTGCTGTTCACCTGGAAGGACGAGTAGCGCTCCAGAGTTGGCCCAAAGAAGGAGGTGGCGTGGCCCTGGAAGCAGAGAGGGGACAGGGATGTCACAACCCCGTGTCCCAGTGGGTGTGGCACAGCAAGGCATCGCTTCATCCTCTGACAGATCCCGGCTTTTCCAGGTTCTGGGGGCGTTCCTGGGTGCTCCAAACCAGGGAGGGCAGCTCAGACTTGTCCCTGGATGCAGCAGACACAAATAAAAAATCCCAACACAGCCCCAGAGCAGTGAGAGGAGAAGCAGTGAGAGGTTTGTGCTCCGAGAATTGACACAGATAAAGGGGGAAAGGTTTTAAAGCAAAAGAGGAGACTCAGATGGGATAGAGGGATGAAATTCCTCCCTTGGGTTGGAATGGATTTCCCACAGAAGCTGTGGCTGCTCCTGGAAGTGTCCAGGGCCAGGTTGGAGGGGGCTCGGAGCACCCTGGGACAGTGGAAGGACATGGAAGGAGATGAGTGTGGAGATGAGAAGGCCCCAGGGAGACCCTGGAGCCCCTGCCAGTGGTTAAAGAGAGCTGGAGAGGGACTTGGGACATGGGATGGAGGGACAGGACAAGGGGCAATGGCTTCACAGTGACACAACGTGGGGTTAGATGGGATTTTGGGAAGAAATCCCTCCCTCTGAGGGCAGTGAGGTGCTGGAATGGATTTCCCAGAGGATTCCCAGTCCTTGGAAGTGTCTGAGGGAGGTTGGATGGAGCACCCTGGGCAGGTGGGAAGCCGTGGCAGGGTGATGGAACCAGTGATGGAAAAGTTTTAGCTTCTATATTTTGCAGATCAGTGCAGCTTTAGTGTTTAAAGCTCCACAGCTGTCAGCTGCTGTTCTCCTGTTTTATTCAGACACAACAATTCCTCTCTAGGAGTGAAACTCAAGGACACCTCATTGTCTCAGGCCCTGAAAAATGTCAACACAAGTGAATGGAGGGAGCACACTGGGGGAATGGGATTACATTACCTGAAGATGTAACTGGACAATTAAACTCTGATATGCAAATAGATCCAACTTTTATCTGTCTGGAAAACTCGCCCATCCCATGACCCCATCAAACCCCACAACCTCCCCAGGGCTTCCCTAAACCTCCCCAGAGCTTCCAAAACCTCTCCAGGTGTACCCAAAACCCTTCCAGACTTCCCAAAACTTCTACAAGGCTTCCCAAAACCTCTCCAGGGTTCCTAAAACCTCTCCAAAGCTTCCCTAAACTTTTCCAGGGTTCCCAAAACCTCTCCAAAGCTTCCCAAAACTTCTCTAAGGCTTCCCAAAACCTCTCCAAAGCTTCCCAAAACTTCTCTAAGGCTTCCCAAAACTTCTCTGAGGCTTCCCAAAACCTCTCCAGGGTTCTCAAAACCTCTCCAAAGCTTCCCAAAACTTCTCCAGAGCTTCCCAAAATTTCTCCAGAGCTTCCCAAAACTTCTCCAAGGCTTCCTAAAAGCTCTCCAAAGATTTCTAAAACTTCTCCAGGCCTTCCCCAAACCTTTCCAGGGTTCCCAAAACGTACCCCGTGGTTGCCAACCCACAGCATCTCCTCGTGCAGGTCGAAGTGGGCCACGGAGACGGGCACGCCGACCTCGGAGACAGCGGTGTGCAGCTCGCTGTACATGCCCTCCATCAGGTGCACGGACTCGGGCACCGGGAGCCCCTCCAGGGACACCCCCTCGGGGTCCAGCTCCACCAGGTTGGGGTTCAGGTGTGGATCCAGGACCGGCTCCAGCGCGGGGTGCAGGGGAGGAGCGAACTCGGCCAGGGAGGGGTTGAGCCCTTCGAAATTCATGGTGAATCCCGGCCTTGGGGAGGGAAAAGGAACCGAGGTGGCCGCTCAGGGACAGCCGGAGTTTCTGGAATCGGTGATGGCGGGGATGGGAAAGGCAGCTGGAATCTCCGGTGGGGCGAGGTGCAGGGCTGGGGATGTAAAATCCCTTCCCCAGGGTGTGCTCAGAGCCTCGGTATGACCGGGAGAAGGGCCTGGGGTGGTGCCAGGGCACCGGGCACTGATCCCTGGGCACCGGGCAGGGGTCCCTGGGCACCGGGCAGGGGTCCCAGAAAACTGAGCAATGGTCCCAGAAAACTGAGCAATGGTCCCTGAGCACCGGGCAGGGGTCCCAGAAAACTGAGCAATGGTCCCAGAAAACTGAGCAATGGTCCCTGAGCACCGGACAGGGGTCCCAGGACACCGGGCACCATCTGGGGAAACCAGGAAGTAGCCCAAGATGCCAGGCAGCCTCCCGCGGATACCGGGCAGTGGTCCCAGAGCACGGAGAAACCTCCAGAGGAAGCGGGCAGTGTACCAAAGGACAGAGCAGCGTCCCGAGGCACCGGGAAGCCTCCCGGGGAATCAAACCAGGCCCCACCCGGGCCCCGCCCCGCCCCACCCCCGGGGCTTCGGGCCAGCTCCGCAACCGCCGCCTTTATCACTGCGGGCCCACACCGAACGCGCCGGCGGGACCGGCGGTATCAGCGGCCGCAGTCCCAGGCGGGGCACGGGGGGCCCGGCCCAAGCGGGCCCGGCTCTCACCGAGCCCGGAGCCGCCACCCACAACCCGCCGCGCGCGCCGTTACCGAGCCGCGGGCAGAGCCGCACCGGGGCCGCGCTCCCGGGCTCGTCCCGCTGCGCCGCCGCGGCCGGGCCGGGGCTGGGGCCGCTCCCGCCGTCGCTACGGCAACCGCGCCCCTGCCCGGTAAACCGGGCCCGCCCCGGGCAGCCGACCAATGGCAGCGCCGAGCGCCGAGCACCGACCAATCAGCGCCGGGGGGCGGGACTAAGCGGCGGGACGGGGCGGCACACGGGACAAAAAGGCTGAAATCGGATCGTTCGCGGCGGGGGAGCCCCTGGGGCAGCCCCGGGACCCCCGAGCACCTCTCGGATCCCCGGGTGCTGCCGAACCGTGCGACCTGTGGCGTCCCACGGGTGTCGCGCAGCGTCCCCAGACACCCTAGGAGAGCCTACGGTGTCTGACGGATGTCACAGAGCAGCCCGTGGCACCCACGGTGCCCGCAGGAGTCGCGCAGTGTCCCCTGGCACCCCTCGGGATCCCCAAGTGTCCCCAAGTGTCCCTCGGTGTCCTGCGAAGTCCCTTGCCATTCCATAGGGTGCACTGGGGTCCCACAATGTCCCATGGGGTCCCCTGGCACCCCACGCCGTCCCACCGTGTCCCCTGGCATCCCATGGGGTCCCAAAGTGTCCCCAGATGACCTTCAATGTCCCTTTCTCTCCTCTGGCATCCCACACTGTCCCACGGTGTCCCATGGGGTATCTCAATGTCCCACGGGGTCCCACAATGTCCCCATATGGCTTCACCGTGTCCCCTGGCACCTCATTGGGTCCCACTGTGTCCCAAATGTCCCTCAGTGTCCCTTGTACTCCCCTGGCATCCTACAATGTCCATGAGTGTCCCATGGGGTCCCACGGTGTCTCTCAGTGTCCCACAGTGCCTCTCAATCTCCTGCAGGGTCCCACAGTGTCCCATGGGGACCCACACTGTCCCTCAGTGTCCCATGGGGACCCACATTGTCCCTCAGTGTCCCTCAGTGTCCCATGGGGACCCACATTGTCCCTCAGTGTCCCTCAGTGTCCCTCAATGTCCCTCAATGTCCCATGGGGACCCACATTGTCCCTCAGTGCCCCGCGAGGTCCCACACTGTCCCTCAGTGTCCCACACTGGGACACGGGGACCCACAGAGTCCCACAGTATCCCTCAATGTCCCCCGTTGTCCCTCAGTGCCCCGCGAGGTCCCCAAGTGTCCCAAACGCCCGGCAGTGTCCCCGCCCTGGTCCGTCCCCCGCCCAGCCCCGGTGCCCGCGGCGCGCCCGGTGCCCGGGAAAGGCCGGGGGCAGCCCCGGCGGGCGGAGCCCCGGGAAGCGCCGGAGCCGCCGAGATTGCGGCGCCGCGGGCAGCACAGCCCGGTGACACCGCGGGGACACCGAGGGGACACTGAGGCACACGGGAGGGGACACGCCGGGGATCCACCGAGCTGACACCGCCGCGGGCTCCCCGCTGCGCTCACCGGGGCAGCCCAGGTGGACCGAGGGGGCGTCCTGGTGCCGGCGTCGGTGCCGGTGCCTCCCATCCCGCCAGGAACTGCCCCGGGTTTTCCTGCCTGTCCCGTCTCATCCATCCCGTCCCGTCCCGGTGCGGCGGGGCGCAGCCCGGGGACCCCGGCCCGGTATCGGTTCTGCTTTCGAGGGGAGGTGGCGATGATTTAGCAGGGGGAGGGAGCCACCTGCCCCGGGATTCCCCACCTGCCGCCGCCCCATAAGAGCCCGGTGGCGGCGCCGGTGGCGGCACAGACCGACCTTCGATGGCTCCGCTCCGCCGCCTCTGCCTCTGCCTCCTCCTGGCTCTGCTGCTGCCGCTTCCCGCGGCACCGGCACCGGCCCCGGTCCCGGTCCCGCTTCGCCACCCGGACTGGACCGCCTGTAGGATCCTGTCCCGGGAACTGTCGCGGCTGCTGGCGACCGTCAAGGAGCCCCACTCGGCGCTGGTGAGCGCGGGGGGCTCGGCCGGGGGCACCGGGGGCACCAGGGGGCTGGGAGCACCGGGGGCACCAGGGAGTTCGGCCGGGGGCACCGGGAAGAACCGGGGGATGCGGGGCCATCGCAGCGCGGGTGGGACCGGGGGTTCGGGGTCCCCCCCCCGGGGTTCCGGGGCATGTGGGGACCCCACGGATCCCTGCTCCAGGAGGGGATGCAGCTGCTGGAGGAGGACCCCCAGAATTGGCCCCCTCGGATCCGCTGCAGCGACGCCTGTGACCCCCAGACGCTGGAGACCAACCACACGGTACCGGGGGGCTGCGGGGGTCCCGGGGGCAGCCGGGATGGCCAAGGGGGCTGCGGGGGTCGGGGCGTGGCCGGGGGTTCGCCCAGGTGTGCTCGGGGATCGCAGAGATGTTGAGGGTGCCTGGGGGTCCCGGGGTGTTCAGGGGATGCTGAGGGTTCCCAAGGATGTCTGGGGGTCCCAGGGATGTACCTGGGGGATGCACCTGAAGTGCTATGGGATGTGCTTGGGGTTCCCAGACGTGTCTAGGGGGAGTCCAAGGGATGCTCTGGGGTTCCAGGGGTGCCCAGGGGTCCCAGGGACGTTGTGGAATGTGCCTGGAGTTCCCAGGGATGCTGGGGGATACACCTCGGGGTCCCGGGGATGCAGAGGATGTGTCTGGGGGTCCCAGGGATGTGGGGGATGTCTCTGGGGGTCCAGGGATATCTGGGGGGTCCCAGAGATGCTGAGGATACGTTTGGAGGTCCCAGAAGGATCCCAGGGAGGCTGGGAGTTACCCTTGGGGGTCTCGGGGGTGCCTGGGGGTCCCAGGGATGCTGAGGATGAACCTGGGGGTCCCAGAGAGGTCCCAGGGATGCTGAGGATGAACCTGGGGGTCCCAGAGGGGTCCTAGCGATGCCGAGGGTTCCCACGAGTGCCCGAGGGTCCCGGTGGGGGTGTGGGAAGGGTCCCGGACCCCCATCTCACCCCCCACTCCCCGCAGCGCTGCCTGCACCGGATCCGCCAGGCGCTCCAGCACTACCGGGACCTGCTGGGCTCCGACATCTTCCGGGACCAGCCCCAGCCCCAGCTGGAGACCACGATGGAGCAGCTGCTGCGCCACGTCCAGGTGAGGAACCGGGGGCTCGCAGGGAGGCACCAGGCACCCCTCGGACCCCCCGCTCTGACCGCGCTGTCCCCACAGGAAGGGCACGGCCGCCCCCCCCGGCACCCCCTGGTCTCCACCGACGTCTGGGCTCAGCCGTACCAGCGGCACCTGGCGCTAAAGCGGCTCCGCTCCTTCGCTGCCGTCATGGGCAGGGTCTTCAATCACAGCGCCCGCTGAGCCCCTCGGACAGCGCCCCCTCCCCTATTTATTGTCCCTCCGTGATGGGTTATTTATGATGTGCGACATTCCCCTATTTATCTCGGGTATTTATGAGTTTCTAATAAAGGTCCGATGGAGACGAGCGAGCGGCTCCGGCGTGCGGCGCAAGGGACAGCGCGGGCACGGGGGTGGGAAGGGGTTTATTTACAAGGAGGGCGGCGGAGAGGGGTGATTGGAAGGGAAGGAGCCGGGGAGGGATCACTGGAAGTCGCTGGCGTCGATTTGGAGCGGGGGGAAGTCGGTGAAGAGCGAGGGGATGGCGGGCAGGGCCGAGTCCTCGGGCTGCGGCAGGAACGGGTCGTGGTGGTCCAGGAGTGCAGAGCTGCCTGGAATGGGGACAGGGCAGTGCCCAGGGGACAGCTCGGTGCCCAGGGGACAGCTCGGTGCCCACCCCAGCCCCGCCACTCACCAGGGCTCAGCTGGAAATTCTCCTCCAAGGTTTCGGCCATGTTCGGCATCAACTCCGCCACCTCCAGCGTCTCCAGGGTCCCCGAGCCCGGCTCCAGCCCCTCCAGCGACTGCAGCAGCTCCTGCATGTCCCGGCTCCCCGGCAGCAGCTCCAGGTCCCTCAGCTCTGGTGGCAGTGTCCCCTGCTCCTCGGGGACCTGCGGTGTCCCCACAGCCCCCGGCACCGGCTGCAGTGTCCCCGTGTCCACAGCCACTGTCCCCTGCTCCCCCGGAAGCACCTGCAGTGTCCCCACGTCCCCTGATCCCACCTGCAGCATCCCCAGCCCGCCAGGCAGCACCTGCACAGTCCCCACAGCCCCTGGTGCCACGTGCAGTGTCCCCTGGATGTTGGGGACACCTGACGCCACCTGTGCTGGCTCCAGGCTTTGGGACTGTGGCTGCAGGATCCCCAAGCCCATGGGCTGCAGGGTCCCTGGGCTTGTGGCTGTCACCTGTGGTGTCTCCAGGCTCCTAGGGGTGACCTGCAGTGTCACTGGGCTCGTGGCTACCACCTGTGCTATCCCCAGCGTACTGGCCACCCCCTGAGGGGTCCCCAGGCTCCCAGGAGTGACCTCTGGGCTTGTGGCCATCACCTGAGGCATCCCCACCTTGCCAGGGGTGCCCTGTGGTGTCCCCGAGCTCTGGGGCTGTGACAATGCCGGGCCACCAGCCTGCTGTGTCTCCTGCCCTCCGGGCTGCAGCTGCAGCGTCTCCAGGTTCTCGGTGGCAACCACCAGCTCCTCTTCTGTTTGCCACTTGCTGGGCTGCCTGGAGGGAGAGACAGCGGGGCTGGGGTCAGGGGTTGGGCTCAGGGGGTCCCACAGGGTCACACAGGTGTCCCCACAGCCCCTCACCTGGAGGACACGCGGATGAGGCGCCGGTTCAGGTATTTCTGGGACTCACTCAGGGTCCCTGGGGACAAAGAGAGGGGTCAGGAGGGTGCCAGGTGCTGCCCTGGCTCAGTCCCAGGCCGTGCCAGGCTGTGCCAGGCCGTACCCTCCTGCCTCTGGCTGTAGTAGGGCCCGAAAGCCTCGTCACGGGCGGTGCTGGGGTACAGGTACTTGAGGGGGTTTTCCGGAATGTTCTCCTCCATCATCATCTGGTAGTCACGGATGATGTCGGGCAGCGCCAGCGACACCAGCTCCGAGGCTGTGTAGGGATCCACGGCGTGGAAAGTGGGGGATCCTGCAGCGAGGGGACAGCAGGAGGGGTGAGGGGCTGCACCCCAGGCTTGTAGGGGGGTTTTGGGGGGGTCACTCACCTCTCTCGTGGTGCTCCACCCACGTGAAGGTGACCCCGCCGAGGACGCTCTCGCTGAAGCGGAGCAGGAACGTCCCCGTCCGCTTGGACTTGAGCAGTTTCTTCTCCTGCTTGCGGCTCACGAAGCCCAGGATGAGTCTGGGGGAGGCACTGTCAGCCCCTGTGGCACCCCCAGACCCCTCCCCAGCCCCCCCCAGCCCCGCTCCTACTCGTTCTTCCAGAGCTGCTTGAGATGCTCCTGGAGCAGCCCCAGGATCCCGTCCAGCCACGCCCAGAAGGAGAAACCGGCAGGACCATCCTGTGGGAGAGGGGATGGGGACATGGGGGGACAGCAGGGACATGGGGACATGGGAGGACATAGGGGGACAGCAGGGACATGGGGGGACTGGAGGGATATGGGGACATGGGGGGACAGCAGGGACATGGGGACATGGGAGGACATAGGGGGACAGCAGGGACATGGGGGGACAACAGGGACATGGGGGGACATAGGGAGACAGCAGGGACATGGGGGGACATGGGGGGACTGGAGGGACATGGAGGGACAGCAGGGACATGGGGACATGGTACAGGACCACAGTGGGGTGGGGCCACAGGAAGACAAGTGGGACAGGACCGTGACAGGAGAGGGCCATGGAGGGACAAAGGGGGACAGGGACGTGGAGGGACAAGAACACGAGGGGACAGGATCATGGGGGAATGACAGGACAAGGCCACAGAGGGGACAGGGCCATAGGGCCATGGGGACAGAGGGGACAGAGGGGACAGGCCCTACTCACCTTTGAGAATTTGGGCCAGGCCACGGTGCTGTCCAGGGATGGCTTCGAGCCTTGAGGTGAGAGCAGGGTGAGGGAGGGCAGTGCAGCCTTGTCCCCCTGTGTCCCCCCCGTGTCCCCTGTGTCCCCAGGAGGTCCTGGCCTTACCCAGGAGTTTCTCAGCCAGCATGAGGAGATTGTCCCGGCTGAGCCCTCGCTCGGCCACGCTCTGGAACTGCCAGCTCAGCACCTCGGCCAGCCGGGGCCACGGGGCCACAGGAGGTGACGAGAAGAACTGCTGGGCCTGGGGACACGGGGGGACACGGGGGGACATGGGTGAGCAGGGACGGGACAGAGCGAGGGGATGGGGACATGGGGAGGGGATGGGGACATGGGGAGGGGATGGGGACATGGGGTGAGCAGGGACGGGGACAGGGCAAGGGGACGAGGACAGGGGAGGGATGGGGACATGGGGAAGGGGACATGGGAAAGGGATGGGGACACGGCAAGGAGATGGGGACATCGGGAGGGGACGGGGACATGCACTGGAGCAGGGGAGGAGGACATGGAGGGGACGGGGACATGAGGAGAGGACAGGAAGGGGACATGGGGAGAGGATGGGGACAGGGGGAGGGGGTAACATGCACTGGAGCCGGGGACAGGGATCAGACAGGGAGCAGGGGGTGGGGACACGTGGCAGGGGTGGTGTCCATGGGATGGGGACAAGACAGGGACCACAGACACATGGCAGGGGACAGGGACAAGGGCAGGGGATGGGGACATGCACCAGGGCAGGGGACAGGGGTGGGACAGGGACCAAGGGACAGGGAAATGCAGCAGGGGACAGGGGCGAAGGACATGCATCAGTGCAGGGGATGGGACAAAGAGCAAGGACAAGGACAAGGACAAGAAGCAGGGCAGGGGACTGGCACCAGGGGACAGAGATGTGAACCTGGGATGGGGCAGGGACTGGGCCCAGAATCAGGGACAGGGCACAGGGGATAACCAGGAACAGGGACATGGGACAGGACACCGGGACAGAGACTGGGCAAGGGGAGGGGATCGGGATGGGACAGGGAGCAGCACAAGGGGACACGAGGGATGGCAGGGCTGGGGGTGGCACAGGGCTCGCCTTGGGGTCAGAGCTGAGCATGTTGAACCAGAGGATGGAGGCCCAGGCGCTGGAGAACTGGCTGTTGTTGGAGATGATGACGAAGGGCAGCGTGGTGGTCTGGGGAGGTGACAAGGGTCAGGCTGGCTGTCCCCAGTCCCCCTGACCTCCCCAAGCCCCCCAGCACCCCCAGCCCTCACCTCCAGCTCCAGCTCCAGCCCGCAGTAGGCGTAGGCCAGCGTGAAGGTGATGAGGTGCAGCTCCTCTGTCACGACCAGGGGACCCTGCAGGAGGTGGCACCGCTGTCACCACCTGGCCTCACCCCCCTGCAGCCCCCCAGCCCCCACCCCGCACCCACCTCGCCGCCGGTGCCTTTGCCCTTGCCAGCCCTGCTCTCCTTCTGCTCCTTCAGCGTCTGTGGGGACGGCAGAGTCAGCCCAGGGCAGGGTCCACACCCTGCTGCCCGCCCCGGGGAGGGGTCTGGGGGTCTGGGGGGGTCCCTACGAGGTACTGGAAGTCGCAGACGAGCCCCTCCTGGGGACTGTCCCCGGCCAGGAGCGTTTTGCTGCTCGATGTGAGGATGTTGAACCTGCGAAACCTGGGGGCAGAGACAGGAGGTGGGAGGGGGTCGGGACCCCCGGGAGGGCACATGGGGGGCCAGGACCCCTGAGGGGGTGTGGATGGGGGCCAGAATCCCCCTCCCAAGAGGGGGCATGGCCCAGTTGTGGGTGGGGGCTCAGGACCCCTGGATGAGCTGTGGGGGGGGATCGAGACCCCCCTGGGGATGCAGGGGGGGTCAGGACGACCCCCAGGGTGGGGTCCCAGCCCCGCTGCCACCTCCAGCGCTCTCCCAGCTCTCACCCTTTGATGTTGGGAGGGTCCCTGCAAGAGACAAGGCGGGGTCAGGAGGCAGTGGGACCCCCGCGGGTGGTCGGGGGGGGTCTCGGGGGGGGTCCCACCTGTCGATGTGGATCCTGGCCTCCATGTGGTGGTTGCGGTCGTGCAGCCTCACCAGGAGCCGGGCACGGGCCGAGAATTTGCTGGCGGTGCGGAGCACGAGCGGGCGCTTCATGGCGTTGGGGGTGCTGGGCTGCTGCTCCACCACGAAGGCACTGCGGAAAATGGGGGGTCAGGGCTGCCCCGAGACCCCCCCTGTCCTCCCCGTGCTGCCCCCACTTCTTAAAATCATGGAATGTCCGAGGCTGGAGGGAACTCAGCAGGATTATCCAAGTTTAACTCGTGGCTTGGCACAGGACAACCCCAAAACCTGCCCAGTCCCAAATCCCAAGGTTTGTTGTCCAAACATTCCCTGAGCTACAGAACTATGGAATATCCAGAATTGGAAGGGACCCATCAGGATCATGGAGTCCAACTCCTGGCCAAAACAACCCCAAAAGTCCCCCCAGTCCCCAAATCCCAACACTTGAGAGCACTGAGGACCTGACAGTGATGTCCAGACACTCCCTGACCCCGGGAATTATGGAATATCCTCAGCTGGAAGGGAGCCACGAGGATCAAGTACAACTCCTGGCCCTGCATGGACACCCCAAAAGTCCCTCCAGTCTCCCAATACCTGAAAGTGTTGTTCAAATACTCCCTGACCCCTGGAATTATGGAATATCCTGAGTTGGAAGGGACCTACAGGGATCAAAGCCCAGTTCCACAGGACACCCCAAAACCCCACCCTGTCCCTGAGGGCGTTCTCCAAATGCTCCTTGAGGTGGGAAGGGGCCCAGAACAAATTCCGAGTCCCAGAACACTCCCAAAAATCCTAAATCCCTGAGAGTGTAGTCCAAACACTCCCTGACCTCTTGAATTCTGGAACATCCAGGGCTGGAAGGGACCCATCAGGATCAAAGTCCAGCTCCTGGCCCGGCACAGGACACCACAAAAGTTTCCCCCAAATCTGAGCGCTGAGAGCATTACCCAAACCCTCCCTGAATTACAGAATACCCAGAGCTGCAAGGGACACATGAGGATCATTGATCCCAGCTCCAAGCCCTGCACAGACTCCCCAAAACCCCACCCTGTGCCTGGGGGCGTTGTCCAAACATTCCCAAGGCATTCCAAGGGTGGCAATGCCACCATTCCCTGGAGAGCTGCTCCAGTGCTCAACCACCCCCCGGGGGAAGAACCTTTTCCAAATCTCCACCTCAAACCCTCTTGGCACAGCTCCAGCCGTTCAGATCCCGCCCCACACCTCTTGAGCAGGTGAGTGAGCTGCTCCTGCAGCCGCTGCTCCAGCAGGGGCGTCTCTGCCGCCAGCGGGTCCCTCTCGTAGGTCACTTTTTCTCGCAGGCCGCTCAGCGCCCGCAGCAGCTGCCGCAGCTGGAACAGCCCCTGGCCCAGCTCCGTGAACCTGCGGGCTCAGGCAGCTCAGAGGGGCCTGGCTGCAGCCCCCCCCGAGCCCCCCAAGCACCCCAGCCCTACCAGGTCTCCAGCGGGCGCAGGCTGGTGTCACCGGGGGCCCCCAGGCACAGGCGCTGCTGCCGCAGCCTCCAGCCCCCCAGCTCCTCCTGCAGCAGCTCCTGCAGGGTCTCGCTGCGCCCCAAGAGCTGCTGCATCTGAGCCAGCACCTCCTGGGGGGAGATGTGGCTCTGAAGGGGGTGCTCAAGGTGGTCACACCCCACCCCAAACCCAGCCTGGCCACCCCGACCCCCCCTCACCCGCCGCTGCCGGTCCAGGTGCTGCAGTTTGGCCTGGAGGGTTTGGAGCTCCTGGACGTACCCGGGGTCGTTGTTCCTTCTCTCAGCTGCGGGCAGCGGAGAGGAATCAGGGTTTTGGGGGGGCTCACCAAGGTTTTGGGGTGCCACCGCCCCCACCTCCCCCGCGTGGGGCTCACCTGGCCGGTAGTGCACCTTGTAGCAGAAGTCAAAGGCATCCTGCAAATCCTCCAGGTGCCTGAAGGCTCGCTCGGCTTCCTGCGGGCTCAGGGTGGGTCAGGAGGGGCCGGGCAGCCCCCGGGGGGCTCGGCGGGGGTCGCGGGGGTGGCGTTATTACCTGCAGGGCCGTGTGGAACTCGGCCAAACGCCGCTGGATCTGCTGCTCCCGGCCGCTCTCCAGGGCTGGGCTGGGCGCGGGGGCCGAACCCCCCTAAGGGAGACACGGGGTGTGGGGCAGCGGCCGCAGGACCCCGCGGGGTGCGGGGGGGACACAGCCCTGCCCTACCTGGCCCCCCGCCTGCCCCAGGCGCAGGATCTGCCGCTCCTCCTGCAGCAGGTTGGCCACCAGGTTGGCGAATCCCTCCGGCTTCTTCTCGAACTCAGCCTGCGGAGGGGTTGGGGAGGTCAGCGGGGCGTGGAGACCCCTCCCCTCCTCACTGCACTCCCCCAGCCCTGAAGCGCACCTGGAGGTCGCGCTGAGCCTTGCGCAGGTTGTGCTTCAGCATGAATTCCTCGTGGCCCGAGCCCAGGCTGCCCAGGCAGTCTCCCAGTAGCATCAGTAAGGAATGGAAGAGCATCCGGGCGTGCCCAGAGGAGAGGGGCTCCGCCGCTTGGCGCCTGCGGCAGCGGGGGCTCAGCACCGGCACGGCCCTGCCCGTACCCCCCGGTGCCACCCCCGGCCCCGGATCCCACCCCGTTACCAGTTCTGGTCCTCGATCCAGGCGGCCAAGCACTGCCGTACGGCCATGGGCAGCGCCGAGCCCGCGTACAGCTGGTGCACCTGCTCCAGGTAAGTGTTGGCCAAGTTCTGCACCTCCTGCCACTGCGCCATGCTGGGGGAGAGAGGGTCAGGGGCGTCCCGAGGACCCCCCGGCCACGGCAGGACCAGAGGACGAGAAACACCCGCGTGTTCAGGTGGGCACCTCTGCACCCCGCGTACCTGCCTGCAGCACGGGCGGCCCGGGGGTCCCTCTGCTCCTACTCGGTCCTGGGTGGTCCCGGAGGTTCCTCTGCTCTACCTCAGCCCCGGGCAGCTCCTGGGGGTTCCCTCCCTCCCGCTGGAGTGGCCGCGGGCCAGCAGCCGCGTCCTGCGGTGGGGGCAGGGGTGAGCCGAGGGGGGGCCCCCACCCGGGGCGGGGCCACACACACACACACACACACACACAGACACAACGCCCACCACGAGGGCCCGCAGCACCCCTTATGGAGCACCCAGGTCCCCCGAGACCGGGCCCCCATTGAACCCCTCGGGCGGCCCCGGGCACCCCCAGTACCCCTAAACACCCCCCGCCCAGCGGGACAGCCTCCAAGGGACCCCCTGTGTGCCCCAGCCGGGAGCTCCTGCCTGTGTCCCCCTCCCCCGGGGCCGCTCGTGCTCCAGAACCGCCCACGTCCCTCCCAGGACCCCCGGTGTCCCCCAGGGAGCCCGGACCCACCGCCGCCGCTACCGGAGCAGGAAGGCGGGCTGGCCGCGTCCCCGCCCCCTTTCTGCGCGGTGATTGGCGGAGCTCCGGGCCTGTGCCACGCCCCCTCCCCGCTCTGCGCGGTGATTGGTGGATCTCAGGGCCGGGGCCACGCCCCCGCGGGTGGCGGTGTTCGGCAGGGTGGTCCATTTCCCCAAGTTGACGTCACACGGGGCGGGGCAGTGTGGGCGCGGTTTTTGCTGGGGCGTGGCCAAGGGGGCGGGGTCAGCGGGGACAGGGGGAGGGAACGGCGGCGGCGGCGGCGGCGGCCCGGGATGGGCGGGGGGACGGGGACAGAGACGAAGGGGATAGCGACAGGCCGTGGGGACAAGGGCAAGCTGTAACAGGGATGGAGCCATCGGGACGGGGGGACAGATCCAGGGAGACAGCGACAGGTCGTGGGGACAGAGCCGGGGGATGGGGACAGCCATGGGGACAGGGACAGAGCCGTGGGGACAGGGACAGGCTGCAGGGACGAGGACAGAGCTATAGGGACAGGTTATAAGAGCAGGGATAGAGCCCTGGGAACAGAGCCGCGGGGACAGGGACAGGCCATGAGGACACGGATAGAACCATGGGGACAGCCAGGATGAGCTATGGGGACAGGCCATGGGGATGGGAACAAGCCATGGGGATAGGGACAACAGAGCTATGGGGACAGGGGCAGAGCTGTGGGGACAGGGGCAGAGCTGTGGGGACAGTGACAAGCCATGGGCACAGGGGTACAGAGTCAGGGAGAAACTGCAGGGATGGGGACAGGATCAGGGCCGTGGGGAGAGGGACACAGAGCCCTGGGGACAGGGACAGGCTGGAGAGAGAGAGGGAAAGAGCTTGGGGACAGGGGCTGGGATGGACTGCCTGTGGGGACAGGGCTCGGGCTATAGGGACAGGAACAGACCATGGGAACAACACAGAGCCACAGTGGGACAGGGACAGGCCCAGCCCAGCTGCCACCACGTGGCTCAGGCCACCACGTGGCCAAGGTCCCGGTGCCCAGGGCAGGGTGACCCCGCATCAATCCAAACAGGGACCCGGTGCCCGCTGCCACACTGGCCTTTATTCAGACGATGACCACGGGGCCGCTGTGGGCAGTGGGTACCGGCGAGGGCTCCCCGGCCGAGGTGAAGTACCCGATGAGCGCCCGCACGCCGGCCTTGATCCCCGGCTGCAGCCCCATCTGCACCCCCATGGCCACGGGGCCCCCCAGGCCCCCGGTGAGCGCGGCCAGCCCGGCGTAGCCCAAATCCTCGGCGGCCTCCAGCGCCCGCGTGGACGCCGTGGCCTTGCAGCCCTGGAAGGCGAAGTAGACGCTGGTGCCCAGGTTGTAGAAGATGCTGACTCCTGGCACCCACTCGATCACCTGGTGGGCTTTCTGCTCCCCCGCCGGGTTGCAGGCGTCTGTGTCCTCGTCCTCCCGCCGGCGCCGGACGGCACCGTGGCACAGCCGCACCCCCGGCGATCTCCGGATGCTCCGACCCAAGGGTGGCGTGGGCTCCGTGCCGGGCACGGGGGTCTGGAGCTGGGTGGGATCCACACAGGCAGAGCCCCCCGGGCGTGCCAGGCCCAGGAGCAGCAGGGCCAGTGGCCGGGGGGCCGGAGTGCCCGGTAGCCGCGCCAGCCCCCGCAGCAGCGCCGTGGTCGTGGGGGTCCCCAGCTCCCGCACCAGCTCCTGCGCCTCGGCTTCAGCCTGGGGGGCACAGCCAGCCCCACGCAGTGCCAGGGCCAGGGCGGCACGGGCCAGGCCACGGGGCAGTGGTGGCAGCCGGGAGAAGCCGGGCAGGGTGTCGGGACCAAGGGTCTGGCACGGGACCCCCAGTGCCCGCGGCGGGATGGGCTCTGGCAGCCCCAGCAGCTCGGTCAGCAGCCCCTGGTCACCGGCAGCCAGCCCTGGAGTGACCACAGACACAGCGATGGCACGGCCGAGGATGAGGAGCGGGAGGAAGAGCAGAACCCGGAGCATGGCGGCGGCTCTGCGAGGGTCTGTGGAGGTGGGAGAAGGGCAGAGCCCCATGAGACCCCCGTGGCTGCAGCCCCCCGTGACCCCCCTGTGCCCCGGCTCACCCGCTCGCCGCTGTCCCCTGCCCTGTCCGGCCGCTGCGGCCGCAGCCGCCCCGTGACCCCTTTATAGCCGGTGTTATCAGGGAATTGCGACACGTCCGGCGCAGGGACAGGCACCGGGCACTCCCCGAGGCCAGGGCAGCTCGAGCCCCCAGCCCTGCTGCAGACCCACACACACCCAAAAAAGCCCAAAAGTCACCTTTATTTATTTAGGCCCTGTCCAGATTTTAAAAGTTTTAGAAAAAAAGAAAACAACAGCAGCTGAGGAAAAAGGGAATTTGAGGTAAAACAGGGAGATGGTGACACCACGGTAAGGGGGGAAGGTGAAGAAACTGGTTGCTTGTGCAGCCTTTAAAAACAGCATCAAAACCTGCAGGATAAAGTCTGCAGAAACCCCAGAAAATCTGTAGAAACCCCAGAAAAATATGCTGAAAACCTGCAGAAATCCAATAAAATCTGCAAAAAGCCCAGGAAACAGCACAGGGCCTGGGCAAAGGCAGGATATGGGGAGCCACTCAGCCTTCCTCCTCTTCCTCTTCCTCTTCCAGGCAGCGGATGCGCTTCCGCCTGCCCCGGGGCTGTGGATCCTCATCCTCCTCATCCTCCTCGGAGCAGGGAGCTGCGGGGGCCGGCTCAGTGCCTGTGGATGGAGAGGGGAGAGGGCTGAGACCCCCAGGGATGTGGCAAAGGGGACAGGGACAGGACAAGGCCGACCCAGCAGTGTCACCCCTGGTGACACCCAGAGTTCCCTCAGCCCCCAGGAGCGAGCAGAGGGGCTGAACGCACCTGAGTTCCCACCATCCTCATCCTCATCCTCACTGGCGAGCTCCCGGCGCCTCTTGGTGCGTGGCTGCACTGGGCTGGGGACGGGGACAGGGACGGGCTCCTCGCTGCAGGGGTTGGCACAGCTCAGCCCCACACGCGGAGAATGCAGGGGGGCCAGATCCCCTCCCCAGCCAGGGAGAAGACCCCCCCCCACCCCAAACCAAGGAGGGAGGACCCCCCAAGCTGAGAAGGGAACTGTGGTCTCACCTCTCCGAGTCTGATCCCAGCCCCGCCGGCAGCGGCTCTGCTGAGGGGCACAAGGAGGGGGGCTCAGAGCCAGCCCCACACCTGGGGATCCCACACCCCCCAGCCCCGCCTCTCACCTGGAGCCAGGTTCTGGGGACACCTGGGTGGCTCTGGCAGGTCCTGGGGGGACCCTGAGGGGCCACGGTGGGCGATGGAGGCGGCCGCACGCCGGAGCTGCTGCGGGGAAAGGGCGGCCGGGATGCGCCAGAAGGATTCCTGGGCAGGGAACAGGGGAACATGGCAGGGCTGAGCTGGGGACATGGCAGGGCTGAGCTGGGGACGGGGATTGGGATGGGGACCGGGACTGGGACTGGGAGGGACGGGAACGGGGACAGGGATGGGGACTGGGATGGGGATGGGGTTGGGGACAGGGATGGGGACGGGAACGGGGAAAGGGATGGGAATGGGGACGGGGATGGGGACAGGAATGGGGACGGGAACGGGGACAGGGACGGGGACAGGAACGGGGACTGGGATGGGGACAGGGATGAGGACAGGGATGGGGATGCGAACGGGGACAGAGATGGGGACTGGGATGAGGATGGGGACAAGGATGGGGACAGGAACGAGGACAGGGATGGGGACAGGGACGGGGATGAGGACAGGGATGGGGATGGGGACAGGAACGGGGACTGGGATGGGGACAGGAACGGGGACTGGGATGGGGATGGGGACAGGGATGAGGACAGGGATGTGGATGGGGACAGGAACGGGGACTGGGATGGGGACAGGGACCTCACCTGCTCGCTGGCAGGGGGCCGCAGCCCCAGCTGCCGCAGCAGGCTCCGGAAGCGCCGGTCCTCCATGGCATCCTCGTTCTCCTCCGTCAGCGGCACCAGCGGCACCGGGTGGGACACGCCTGGGCCGGGAGCGCTGTCAGTGGGACCCTGACCCCACAACCCCCCACCCCACAACTCCCCCTACCCGACCCTGACTCTACAGCCCCCCCATCCGACCCCCAGCCCACTCACCGTCCTCCTCACGGTCCCCTGCCACCCTCCGCAGGCAATTCTCCAGCCACCGCAGGGGCCCGGCCAGGCCTGGGGACAGCAGAAGGTGACACCAGGACCCAACCCCTCAGCCAAGCCCAGCTGGGGGGTTCAGAGCCCCTCACCCACCTTCCTGATGCAGGTGCTGTGCCAGGTCCTGCCCAGCCCCTTCCTCAGGTGCCCAGTGCTCCTCCATGGGGCCTTCCTCTGCTTCATCCTCTTCATCCTCCTCTTCCTCCTCGCTGTCCTCATCCTCTCCTGAGCTGTCCTGGGCTGGCACAGCTGGGACACCTGTGGCAGCCTGTGGGAACCAGCAGTGTTTGGTGCCCAGGATGGGAAAAGGCCGTGTTTGGGTGTCCCCAAGGTGGGACAGCACCCCCAGGGCACAGCCCAGGACTCTCCAGCCCCCCATACCTGCCCAGGGCCGGGCCCCTGGCTCTTCCTCCGGCGTTTTTTGTACAGCTCCTTGCGTTCAGCCACCAGCCCCAGCCCCAGCAGCTTCTCCACCACCCGAGCCCGCGAGCGCCGCGCCGTCAGGTGCTTCATGATATTCCCCAGGACGTCTGTGGGGAGGGGGGTCAGCGTGGGGGGGGGATACAGGGGGTTTTTATGGGTCTGCCCCCCGTGTCCAGCTCACCGCCTGAGCCCTGGAACTCCTCGAAGAGCCGCCTCAGCTCCTCCTCCTGCTCCTGCGTCCACAGCACGATGCGGGTGCCCTTCCTGGGGGTGGGAAACAGCCATGGGACCCTGCCCTGGGGAAAGGTGAGTCCCTGCCCTGTTCCCGGGGGTCCCTGCCCCAGGAGGAGGAGTCCCTGCCCTGTTCCCAGGGGTTCCTGTCCGGTTCCCGGGGGTCCCTGCCCTGTCCCAGGAGTCCCTGCCCTGTTCCCAGGGGTCCCTTCCCTGTTCCCGGGGGTCCCTGCCCCAGGAGGAGGTGAGTCCCTTTCCTGTTCCCAAGGGCCCCTTCCCTGTTCCCGGGGGCCCCCTGCCCTGTTCCCGGGGGTCCCTGACCCACCTCTCCCGCGGGAAGTCCTTGGCACTGCTGGCCAGCCCCATCCGCACCAGCTGCTTCACCACCTGCCTCCGTGTCCGCCCAGGTGCGGGGAGATGGGCCAGGATGGCAGCGATGATGTCCCCACCTGTGGGACAGGGAGAATGCAGAGCCCCTGCCACCCCCCGGGGGTCCCACTGAGACCCCAGAGACCCTCGGTACCTTCCACCTCCTTGTACTTCCAGTAGAGCTCCCGCAGCTCCTGCTCCTGCTGGGGGGTCCAGGTGGGGACTCGGCTCCGGGTGGTCCTGGGGAGGGGCAGAAGGGAGGTGAGGGGAGGAGAGAGGGGGTGGCAGCCCCCTCCCCGGCCCCACTCACCCCTCTCCCTCCTGCAGGGAGCTGTAGCCCTTGGTCATCTCGCAGGCGGCGGCCGGGCTCTTCCAGAAGAGCAGCTCCACAAAGGCCTTTTTGTTGGTGGCTGCCAGCGCAAAGAACTTGCCCAGGATGAACTTGGCCAAGGTCACCAACTCCTGGGGACAGCAGGAGGGAGAGAGGGGCTGGAGGACGCTGGGGACAGAGAGTGGGGCTGAGGGAAATTTGGAATATACAGCAGGGCTGGGGGACACCAGAGGATACACAGAGGAGCTGGGGGATGTGGGCACAGAGAGTGGGGCTGGAGGACACCAGGGACAGAGAGTGGGGCTGGGGGCTGCAGGGACAGAGCAGGGCTGGGAGATGCTGAGGACTGAGCGGGGCTGGGAGATGCAGGGGACAGGATGGGGCTAGGGAACACTGAGAATTGAGTGGGGCTGGGGGCTGCAGGGACAGAGCTGGGCTGGGGGATGCTGGGGCAGAGCTGGGCTGGAGGATGCAGGCACAGACCCCTCCCGGGGGGGCTCAGGGCCCTGTCTGACCTGGTGAGCAGCAGCTGCGGGGTCGCTGAGCAGGCGGTGGAAGAGGGCGAAGAGGGAGAGCTGGAAGAGCAGGGGCTCCATGTGCAGGTCGCGGGCCAGGCGGTGCAGCAGGCGTGCGGCACAGTGGTTGGTGCGGGGGCTGTTCTGTGCGTACCCTCGGAGCAGCAGCACCAGGGCCCGCACCACGGGGGCACAGGCGAACCTGCCCGGCAGCCCCGTCAGTGCAGCCGCCCCACAGGGGACCCTCCAGCCCTCCCCAAACCCTTCTCACCGCTTCAGGTAGTCGAGGAAATTGAATTCCTTCTCTGACACCTGCACGGTCTGCTCCTCCTCTTCCTCGTCCTCCTCTTCCTCTTCCTCCGGCTCCTCTGGCTCGGCGGGTGCGTGCCCTGTGGTGGGATGTGCTGAGGGTCTGCAGTGCCCCAGCCCAAAGTTTTCCACCCTTCCCAGTGTCACAGATGGGGACTCACTGGGCAGGGGAGCGGCGAGGATCTCCCGCAGCAGCTGGGTCTCCTCGGGCGGCCCCGCATCCACAGCTCCAAACACGTCCCCTTCAGGCCAGACCTCCCTGGGGACAACGGAGACGGGCTGGCACTGTGTCCCCACACCCTGGGCACGAGATGGGCATCACGGTGCTGGTACCTGGCCGAGCGGAGCAGCCGCAGGGCCTGGGGCACGCGGGAATCCCGCAGGCACTCCTGGATCCGCAGCAGAGCCTCCGCACGCTGCTCCTCCACCGGCGTCTCCGAGGCGGCGTCAAAGGGCACCACGTCCTCGGGGAGGGGCACCTCACCCTGGATGAGGGCAGGACAGGGTCACTCTGCGCCCACCAACACCCCCAGGGCCCCCTGTGGGGCCAGACCCTTCCCTGGTACCTCCAGGCAGGCCTGGAGCTGCGGGGCCAACCCTTCCCACAGCTGCTCCAGCTCCGCGGCGCTGGGCTGGGCAGGGGCCGCAGGCGGGCGAGGCTTCTTCTTCTTCCTCCGCACACGTTTGCTCTGGGGGGGACAAGGACGGGGTCAGGAGGGGCTGCCTGAGCCCCAGGGACCCCCCAAGGC